AAAAAAAAAAAAAAGATGAATGCTCAATTTATAGATGATTTTCATAGACTGTGTTTGTATCATAATTGTTCCTAAATAACCGTACTTTATTATCTCTCATATTCTCATCAGTTCTCTACTAAATGATATATTTATAATTTCATGAACTATTATATACTAAAGTTGCAATTAAAAATCTTACTTTGTAATATTGTTCTCTTCCAGGAAATGATGAATGTATACCCACATGTTGGAAAAGAGAAGGTTTATATCGAATTCGAACTTGCTTATTTCTTTCTAAACATTCTCTCTGGAAAAAAATAAGAGAAACAATCTTTCGTAAAAAGTCCAAATATTTTTATTACTGCATTTACTGATGGCAGAATTTTTTTTTTTAATTACGTTATATCATTGTTTTTAAGTACCTTGGAGTAAGTTCTGACTCAGAGTAGCCCTATATAGGGTTTCCAAGGAGCGGCTGGTGAGTTTGAACTGCCAACCTTACAGTCCATTGCTTATCTTATAGTCCCAGTTTGACATAAATATTTATAAATTAAACAAAAGTAACCATTAGCTTTTTCTACGTTAAAAAAAAGAGTTGGGATAAAAGAGAACACATGTTAAAGCATGAATTTTACGGAGAAAATTTTCTAATGAATTTTACTGAGAAAAAGAGTTTACTGAGTCCTAGTGTGGCACTGTGGGTTAATGCGATGGACTACAAAGTCAGTTTGAACTGCAACATTGGCAGTTCAAGCTCATCAGCCGCTCCTTGGAAACCCTATACAGGTTCACTATGGGTCAGAACCGACTCAACAACATTGTACTAAGTATAGTTTTCTTTTTATTCCAATGATTTAAAAGACGTTTTTAATATTTTCATGTCTACCCATTTCTGTTATTTTACATTATTCTGTTTCTCTTCCCATATTTATTAATTCCTCCACCAAATTATATCCTCCTCAATTATTTTTAAATGCTAAAAATCATATGATTAAAACAAAGAGTCAGTATGATACATTGCTTTAATGGAAAATGTTCAAATAATCTCTATTTAAAAAGTCCTGGTGTGGCGCTGTAGGTTAATGTACTGGACTGCAAAGTAGGTTTGAACTACAAGGTTGGTGGTTCAAGCTCACCAGCCGTACTTTGGAAAGCCTATACAGGTTCACTATGGGTCGGAACCCTTTTGACAGCAGTAACAACAGCAACATCTTGTAATTATGTTACATAATCTATGTTGTTACTGCTAAATGCTATCTTATCAGTTTCAACGCATAGCGATCCTGTATACATAGCGATCCAAGAAACAGCTAGTAGTTCTGAATCGCAGACCTTGCTGTTAGAAGTTCAGTGCTTTTCCTATAGCACCACACCAGTCCTCCTAATTACAGATGGAGTAGCTAATATTTCCATACATTTTTGGCTTCACTAAGAATTTAAGATATGGAAACTTAGAAATTGTAATTCACCTATCAGCTCTGGATTAGTAAATAATTTTAGGTAATTACATTGTATTGGAAGTATTTTTCTAATATATTTGGTGTTCAAAAACAGTTTAAAAAAATAACAACTCACAAATATTTCACTTGGTTTACACTTCTTTATCTGAAAAATGTCATCCAAGAGCAAGTCTATGGGTTTATCTTTGTAGAACATTAAAAAAAATCGTACAAAGTCAGATAAGTCCTCAGATCTAAACAGCTTTCCTAAGGAGAAAAAGTAAATACATTTTATGCTTTATATTACAACAAAATCTTCAGCTATAAAAAGAATAAAGTTGGAGGCATCAAATTACTCAACGAAGCTATGATTCCAAAGGAACTGTAATATAATTGAACTAATGAAAAATTTGGGAAATGTGTTAAAGTACTTCTTGTCTAGCAATTTCAATTTTTACCTCCTTTAATAGACTGAATCCCAATATTCAGGCAGGTACATTGCTATTCTGCTAAAAGACTACATTTATCATCCTCCATTGCAGCTAGTTGTAGTCATGTGATTAAATTTTGACCTGTTAAATGTAAATGGAAGGGTGGGCCCATTCTTTAGCCTTTTCTCCTTCTTGCTGGGTCCAGAAAGAACTAGATCTTTGGATAGTATTTAACAGGATTGAAATAGAGATCAAGGAGGTGTGGCAGATTAAACATGGAACATGATGGACTGCAAAGTCGTTTGAACTGCAAGGGTGGCGGTTCAAGCTTACCAGTTGCTCCTTGGAAACCCTATACAGGGTCGCTATGGGTAGGAACTGACTCAACAGCACTTAACAACAACAAGCACCAATTATTTGCTACGCTTCCTAGTGAGCAATGAAATCCGATTCTCCTAGCATTTGGTGATGCCTATAATAAGATACTTGACTGATAGACTGTGATATATTCTGACAAGACAATACAAGATGGCAAAAGCTTTGTAGCTTCTGCCTGGGTCTCTTGACACAATCTTAAAGCCTAGAACTGCCAAGTTGTGAGAGAACTCAAGCAATGTGGAAGGGTCTCATGTAAGCATCTAGATGAAAGCCACTACTAAACTCCCGTGCTTATGCTACAATGCCATACCAGTACTTCCAACGATTGAGTTGTTGTTATTATTGTTAAATAGCTTCGAGTTCCATAGGATCAAGAGCCAATTATACTGAAGGAAGAAGTCAAAAGTTCACTGAAGGAATTGGCAAAGAACAAG